CAGCCCTTCTCCTTTCCAGAATGTAACCCTTCTCTATCCATCGATATTACCTGACCAGGAGAAGCACGGCTTGCAGAAAGGGATTTCACTTCAAAATGTGTCTAATTTCAGCATAACAAATTTTACAAAAGAGACTCCCCATGACTTCCCCTGAACAACAGGTCACCTAAACTACACGGCTGAGAAAGGATTTCCAAGTTGCAACAGAGAAAGGGCAGCAAGCACTTCAGTGCTAAGCCCACAGACTTTGGACTATAGGACTTTATAAGGAGAGGTGACATCTGTCTTAGAAGAGCTGGAGCCACAGAACGATCCTGTCCCACACATAGGACTTTATAAGGAGAGGTGACATCTGTCTTGACAGAAGAGCTGGAGCCACAGAATGATCCTGTCCCACATATAGCTATTAAGAAACTTACTGTTCTCCTAGTCTAACCTTTCACAGCACACTGCAGCTATGTCCACAACACACCACAAACCATATTTAACGAAAGGCTACTAACCAAAGTGAAAACAAGTATGTTTCTGAGATGCCACTAAAACCTGTCTTAAATGACACCAGCATGAGATGATAACAAACAATTTTTTTAAAAAAAGAAGAAATTCTGTAAGCAAACTTCACAAGAATTTACTCTTCCAGTTGTACAGATGGTTTAGCAGGTTTGGGATAGGACACTGGCAGAGTTGAGATGCTACGTTCAGCTTCCTGAACTGAGGCCACAATAGATCCCATTGCTTCATTGAGTAGTGGACAGCTTAGTCATTTCCAAATCTGCTCTTCAAGTTAGCTTAATTCTACTATCTCCAGAGATAATGAACAACCTATTTATTACAACATATTTATTACAACATATTTATTTCAACTTCTGACTCACGGTAGGCTGGAGCCAACGCTAAGTTAAGGCACGGGTATAGAGGGTATAGCCAGCTGTTCCCACTGTAACACAAACAGTTCTCTACTTGTTCATATGGAAATTATCAGACCAGTATCTGGAGACGGCATAAACCCCAGTAAGTCAGATCTCTGGATACCCCGTCAACATCAAGACTACTGCACAGGGTATTGCCCTTCAATCCATGCACTGCCAGGGATGGGTGCTGCAAATGTTCACATATGTCTGAGGAGACCTTTTAAATGGTATCACTTGTGGCCAAACCGGCACTTCCATGACGTGGAAAACTCACCCTGCCTTTTGCACAGTCACCACATCACAGGTATCCACAAGCCCTGCAGATACAAGCACATATGCAAGCAACAACCTTCATAACTTAATGACCGCGATCTATTCAATACTACGCACTATTTGGAAATTCCAGGTTAACTATTCACATAGTATCTCAACTCCAAACGGGGAGCCTGCATGCTACGTGTGCACCTGTGTTTGAGAACCGGCATGCGTACATAATCCCATTTTGCACACGTGTAGTTATTTTGCAGTGTTTTGACAGGTCTTTGATCTTACATCACTCCTAAAGCAGAAAAGGGGAAAAAAACAAGACAAAAGCAATCAGTTTTCAGTCCTCTTGGCAATGATGTTCTGTGGACAGCACTGAGTTTGATGGGGCTTTACCAGAAGCTCAAATGCTTTGCAGGAGATAGAAGAACGTAAGCATGAACTTAAGGCATATTCATAGAGTCACAGAATGGTTTGGGTTGGAAGGAACCTTTAAAGATCATCTAGTCCAACCCCTGACATGACTCAAGGGAATATCAAGGAGAGGAATTACAAAGAACTGCCCAAGAAAATGCTACTCGATGGATACTAGGAAAATGATTCATGGCTTACAACAAAAATTCTCTCTGGGGCTATATTTCTGTTTTTATTAGGTGGCAAGACCTGATGAAAGAACAGAAATGTTGCAGTGACAATTGCTAACAGCCCACTGCAGAAAACACCCGCACGCCTGCAGCTGGCTGCAGCATGGCTTTTATGGATCTCTTGGGGTGTGTCTACGTGTAGATGGTCGGGATAGTTAAGGGGAATTAACTGTAGGCTTGAAGTTGAAGCTCAGAAACCCCTTCATGTTCTCAATCAGAAATAAAGCAGCGTTAAGCCTAGCGCAGAGGGCTGTGAACTGACCAACTGTGCTCCACACCAGCGAGGTGTGAACCAGCACTGGCCCAAACATCCAGTTAGAAATTAAAAGTTTCTGCAGCATCTAAGCTGGCTTCTCTTCATTCCTTCCTAAGCTGCAATTGCAGTTTTAAATTCTCAGTTGATGAGGCAGATACAAATTACCCTGTTGTTCTTCACAGGCTAGGAGACTGGGTTCTTTTTTTTTTTCCCCTCTCTTTTTTTTTTCCCCCCCCTCTTTTTTTTTTTTTTTTTTTTTTTTTTTTTGAGGGGAGGGAGAGGGGAGAAAACAACCTGGCTTAGTCATTTCTGCAATGACTGGGTAGTGTATTCATCTATGCTGTGAGAAGTTCAATAGTAATCTAGAGATGGGGACAGAAAAATGCAGACTGGCAGCTCACATCCTTGAGAGAGCAAGTCTTCAGGTTTACTGTCAAGGTGACCTGGACTAAAAGACCCGTAATGCCTACTACATTTGAGAGGCAGCAGCACAGCATTGTCTATAGAATGTGGGCTGACAAAATTTGGGGAATTTTAATACTTCGCATTAAAACTCAAAAGTTCATCTCAAAGTTAGGCCACACTTTGCAGGTGACAAACACTGAGTTTCCAAGACTCCAGCATTCACGAAGCCTGTGACTGTAAAACACTGCTCTTCTTTCGTCATATGGATTTGGTTTCAGCAGTCACTTGAAGATGCATCTCAAACTGCCAGTGCCCCTAACATTCCCATTTACTTCTTGGTGTTCCTGTCAGATGCTTGTTCTGAAAAATGAAGCAAAACTGATCCTTGCTGCAATCTCAGTAACGTCCAGAGAGCTCACTCACAACTGCGTGTGTCACGGTGTTCACTGAGGACTCTGTTCAGTGGGGACTGTGATGCCAGACCTGCATTGTATCATGTTCTCCAAGCTCGTCCCATAGCCTCACCGTTCCCTGAGCAGGACACGGAACAGGTGCTGACCCCTCGTATCTGTCTCTCATACACTGAATCTTAAACTCAGATTTCATCAGAGGAACCACAGTGATCTGTTGCAACAGGACTTCCTAAACCAGCAAAGAAGAGGCAGTATTTGGGCTGTCCTGCACATTTCGTGGTGAAATGCCATTTGGTGATACAGAGAACTCAACACAGTGATACTGAATCTCACAACTACACAGGACTGTTTCCCCTTCCCAACTTCCAGATTTTAACACCAATGTCTCATATAACAGAAAATACAAAAGTTCTGATGTCTCCAGTGCCAAAAGTTTCTGCATTAAAAATGAAACCTTGATATTCTTTGACAGACACAGAACCTAAATGACCCTCTCCCGTATCAGGAGCCGGGCTCGTTAGTGCAGTATGCATTGGCAGTTAAGCACCAAGGAGGAGAAAAAGCTGACCTTGCAGCCGCAATGCATTCATTCAATTACTTTGGTGCTCACCTCCTCCTCTGTATAGGACTTACCCAGAAGCAGTTAAGGTATATACAGGCAGTTTGTTAAGCTGCAGCATATCAGAAGAAGACTGAAAGCAGTAAGGAGTTCAATGCAGCTCAGAAACTGTCTTGCATGATTACTCTGTCTTCAAAAACCAAGTCAGGCACAAAGGGAAATAAAAATAACCAAGGCTGGAGCTGTGACGCTTCAAGAGAGGGGAAAAAAAAAAAAAAGCCTGTGCCCTCTTTTCCAAGCACAAGTGAAAAATCGCATTAACTAAAAAGAGTGCTTGGCCCCATGCACTGTGCCATATTGACAACAGAAACTGCAATTTAATCAAAAAGCCTCTATTGGCAGAGCATGGCACCTTGATGGTACCTTTTAATTCATAAACATTCCTCCCTAAGAGGGATGCATTTGCGTGTTAGCTTGCAGAGAACCATATTCCCTGCTGATGTAAAGTCCTACAACTCCACTGCAGCCTGATGAGCTGTACTAGTAATTACTAGCAGGGAGTCTGTACCGAAATCTCTGGGTGTGAACCAGGGCACACTTAAAAAAGCATTTTCTCACTCTGTCACTCCCCGCCCCCCCCCATCCACCCACCTCCTGGACTTCATTACAAGAAAACTGACTCTTCTCCATCATTCCCATTACTTAAGTCATCTTAAATTGTTCAAACGACTGGTTAAGCTCCAGCCTTATTAATTCAAGCAGAAAGTGGAAGAGGGAAGACTGACAACAGACACGGCAATTCACTTCCTATAGCCTAGCAAGTATATACAAGTACAAGGAGTCCACTTTCCAGAAATTCAATGGGTATGTCCTGTTAGTGAGCAGAGTGCCCACCCTTGCAGCCTGTATCACACGAAGAAGATGCCATTGCAAAAGAGTGCCAGTTAAGGAACGGCTGTGTGACAGACTTGACGAGACCACGTGGGTATGTTACAAAGGGCTTCTCCTTCGCTACAGAGCATCTACCTATCTTCCTCTCCATATATATACACATACATACACACACACATAGATAGATGGATAGATATAAATACATGTGCGCACACACGCGAACACACATACATATATATATTTTGATATATATATATATGTATATATATATTCTTTTCCAGTCCTTGGAGTGGTTACAACTACTTTAGTCTACAAGGCATCCTAAGGGCACTTCCTGGCTCTAGCAATAAAGTCCATCATATTGTGGAGAGAAGTAAAGGGAATATCATTGAGGGAGAAGAACAGAACAGTTTCCTATCTTGTATAATATCGTGTAACAGGTTGACACCTCTGAAAACTATCGTTGTTGTTTCTGAGCCCAGATATTTTCTCCCTATGTTCCAGGAGGGCAAATGTTCATCTTGTTCCATTGCTGTGTACAGCGGTGCCACTATGCGATTTTCCCTTTTTGGTGGATAAGTAGTTGCTTCCGAATAGTTTAGACTGCATGATACAATATCATATGCATCATTTTCTGTTGGTTTGTTTAAAGGGAGATTAAAAGAGTTTTGCTTTTTTCTTCATGTCGTTGCGTCTCCAGAGAGGTAACTTGTCAAACTCCTGTATCGTCATGCCAAATATTTCTTGAAAAACTTCAGGTGCTAAGTGACGCTTTAAAATAAAAAAAAAATAAAAAGAAAAAAGAGGGGAAAAAAGAGAAAATGCAATGGTCAGTCAAAGCCAAAGAGACACAACAGGAGACAGGAGTGCCTTAGGGATTTCATGTCGCTGTGTAAGAGCCATCGCAGGAAATAACGCTTTGGCGATACACATACCCAAGTCCTCACAAACTCGGGTGCTCAACGAATCAGTAAAATTCTGCAATTTGTTAAGTCTGAGAAGTTTACAAAAGAAACAAGGAAAACTATTTCAGTTGCCGAGTAAGCATGAGACAGAAAAATGATTTGTCTGAAGTCACCCAACAAACAGTGACAGGCCAAAGAACAAAACCAGCTCCCTGGCCCAGGCTTTAGCTGGTCACCTCTGCATACATACAGAAGTTCAGACACAGGAGAACTTTGCAGAAGGGCAGCAGGCTGACATGCTACATTTGAAGTTCCGAGAAGGAAGGTGTCTGGCCAGACTCATTGCCCAGCACATCTCTCTACTGCCAATGAAACTTTTTTTGGTGCTGTCTTGTGCACAAGTTACTTCTTGTTCAGCTGCTTTAGAGTGCACCAGATGGGGAAAGTGTCTCCCTGTGGTGCTAATGTAACAGTCTTGAATTCTGACTAGTGACCACATATCTACTAGTCTAAAAATGTGGATAAATGGTTACTTACCGAAATTTTTGTGGTCCCTTCCATTCATCTCCACAGAAGATTAACTACAAATGACTTCCACTGGGCTGCTTAAGTCTTTCTAATCCACAAAGCTGTAAACATTTTTTATTTGTTGGCAGAGATTTAAAACCTCATACTTTTGGATATCAGCCAGTCTAACTAACTCACAGGACTCATGGATGAGTTAAAGAAAGTTAGACTTCTGATCCTCAAGGATGGCTGACACTGACTCTTAGCTAGGAAACGGTCCAAGATTAAACAAAATATTGCTCCATTCCAATATGGATCCTATGACTACAAAACACTTCACCAATTTCTGGCTTTTTACCAATTTACAAGTATATAATTAATTGCTTGAAAATGTAAGGGGGTTGTGAGCAGCTCAGTCCAGGAGCGGGGAGACAGAGATGTGGGACTCCTGGCCCAGCACTGTTCATGGAGATGCGGCTGCTTCCTCCCCATCTGACTCCTCCTTCCCCGCTTAATGCTGAGAAATCTTCCCAGTCTAACAAGGATCCACACTTCAGTGTTTGAGCTTTCAAGTGTGCAACAACAAACAACTTCAGCAGTTTTAGGAAAGAGCATGTAGGAACTTGCTTCTCTTACCTCAAGCCTGGTTCTGTCTACATCTTTTAGTATTTTATTTCGCCCTCTGTTGGTCACCATGAGTATTTCATATGGAAAAATCTGTTAACAATGTATAAAAGGGGGAAAAAGAGATGTATTTACATTCTAAGGCAAAAAGAGCATAATGTGTCTCATTTTCATAACCACACAAACATTTGGTTTCTCTTCCAAAGGAAATCACAGAACTTTGTCCCCTCAAGTTGCATGAAAGACAAGCCAGCCTGGACATGGCAAGAACTTGTTCAGTATCAAACTACCTCATATGGTAGAGCCACTGAGCACTTGGCCACCTTGCTGATTTTTATAGGGCATATAATACAGCTGCCTTTGGTCAGACAGTCCTCTCTAGTCAATACACCTTCTTATTCAGCAATGTATAAACTGAAGAGTTTATTAAGGTAAATATATTTGGCACTTGTTGGTCTAAGATGGTTGCCAAAGTGTGGACAGCTCTAAGAAAACAGAGACTTAGTGGACTTTCAAAAATGAACCACATGAAAGTATATCACAAATCCCAGCAACTCTGAATAAGCAAGATATTGATTAGTGGGGGCCACTGCATTCATCAAAATTCGTCACACCATTTTCTTTGCCTTTTTGGATAGTTAAAGAATTCAAACAGCTGCCCACTGCGCTTGCTGGCTGTGCAATACACACATGAATTAAGGGAGATACTTTTGTAGACATACTTGTCTTACACACCTTCATCTACTTCGGAAGAGTATGTGTCCAGCACACCTCCCATTAACACTTCCCTTGCTTTCCCTTTACATCACAGAGAATGTCCAGAACTTATACAAATCAGTTATTGGCCAATAATTAACTCCTGAATGCATAAATGATTTTACTTTTATGAGTTCTTTGTTTGAAGTAAAATGTTTACAGTCAGTGTTTAGAAAGGGTTTCGGAAAACCATGTGCCTTAAAATCAGTTTCTGGAATCATCCCTGGCAAATAAAATTCTGGTTTAGTATTTTTTCCCTTGGGCAGACACTTCCATGAATGCCTGGAATGACCTAGGAGAGAGCTCAGGTTCCATCTCACAGAGCCTCCCTATAGCCCTTCCATGCATGTCTCTGCAGAGTAGGGTAACAGCATTCCCAGTGAGGTCCTCATCCAACCCCTACCGAAGTCAATTAAGTTCTTCCGCAGACTTCAGTGGGGGTTGGCTCGGCCTTTATTGTTATTTAAGGGTCTTGTTTTACCTGCCCACTGGGAACAAGAGTGAGACCACCAAAACTCTCTGGGAGAGATGGCTGAGCCATTATCAAATGCTATTGATTCAATTATTTTGACGTCAGAAGAAATTCAACCTAGTCACCCTCTGTGCAGAACTAGGAAATTAAGTTCATTTCATTGCCAACAATTATCCCAATAAACTTTTCAGAAATATAATAAATAACATTCAGGCATCAGTGAACACACCACTGAGTTTATTGTAAGTAATAATAACTTAAATAATGTGTGCTTACATACCAACTGTAAGATATGATTCTTAGGAGATTCTGACATTGTCACAATTGTACAATTAAGTTTATACTTTGAATTACATTGTTTATGTTTGATGCTGGAAATAGCTACCATATACAGCATTATAGGAAACTAAAATGTAACTTTTCATATTTAAACAGGCAGAGTTTAAGTCAAGGTCTACGGTCATAAGTACATTTTATATTTAGATATTCACAACAAGGCATGTCGCAGTCTGGGGTAGCAGGATGCACAAATTCTGTCCTTTCTGGGGAACCATGTGGTAAGATCTGGTCATTCTTAAGTTTACTAATTTCCACTTATCACATGACTCATGCTGACTTTGAGTTGGCTTCTTCTACTTTATCAGGTTTAAGTTAGTGTTGGACCATTGACATGAATAAAAATACTGCCAATTCACACAAGCTGAGGGTCTGGCATCACCTTTATAAACATCAACAGAAAGTGACCTATCATATCATGAAAATTCCCATAAATTTTATCACTAACAACTCTGACAGAATTTGTCACCCACAATAACATCCCAAATCACTGGGTGCATCAACAGCAGTGGTGGCTCTAAGAATTTCTATTATACTGAAAGAGAAATTATTTGGAATAAAAAGTAGTATCTCAGGGATTGGGGATGTCCCCAAGGTCTTATTTATATAATATATAAAAACACTTGTTAATATACATTGCACGGGGGGGTCTCAGCTTATAAAGCTAGGGTTATTGCCTTGTACAGTTTGTCTGGAGGTGACTTGGAAG